GAATGTGAGCGTGTGGGACTGCGTTTGTGCGTATGGGTGTCTGGAAGGGGGAAGGGAGGTGGGGGTTGGGCAAATCCCCGTATGCTATGTTTGACGTAGGAGTTTGGGCAGAAACTGACACAGGAGGTGGATGTGGCAACCTTCTTCAGCATCCATGTCAGGTTCATGCTGTTCCTGCCTGACAAACTCCTACTCATCCTTCAGCACCCAGCCCAAATGTCCCTTCTCTGGGAAACCTTTCTGAAACCCTGGTATTCAGATCATGCACTGTTTTCTCATACCTTCTAACAACAGACTCATGGCTCCGTACCTGATTCTTTGGCCCCGTCCGTCCCCTCTGCTCCTCTGACATCCTCTGCGGGCACTGCCCACATGCTCCTAGCAGCAGTACCAGGTGCCCACTGAGATATCAATGATAAATCAGACGCACCACGAGCTCACATGTGCCACAGGCTCCCAGTGGGCCAGGCCCTGGGCTGAGGGCCCCTAAAGGCGTTCCAGGCATGACCCACTCAAGCCTCTGTTACCTCCACAGAGCCAGACACATTATGGTCTGTGCCGCCCACACGCATGAGGAAGCTGAGGCTCAGGGCAGGTGTGTGACTTGTGGGGCCTCTTGGCAGGCACGTGGTAGAACCAGGGGTCAAGCTGCACACCCTGGGGAAGGTGCTACAGGGCTGACAGGAGGCTGGGGCTGCTGGTTGGCCGTGGCCAGGGGGCTGGCGGCTCAGCTGGAGGGATACGAGGGGCAGGGGAGGGAAGATGGATCCTGCCTGTCCCGACACAGACCCTCGTTATCGAAAGAATGATGTGCCGCATTTGCAGAGCACCTCGGAGGAAATCAGAGTGGGTTGCAGGCTGTAGCTAGGTGGATTTCAGTGTGAGGGTCCCCGGGCCTGTGCCCGCTGGGGGCCCGGGCTCCGCTCCTCACTCATGGGAAGTCTCCAGCCTTGCCTTTCCAGCCCCACCCTGAGACAATGCTCCGTGGGTGCCCCCCACAGGAGCCCAAAGCAGTCTGGGGTGGAGGGGGGCCCGCCTCTGCCCTTCACACCCCTGCCACCTACTTCTCTTGCCCCTGATTTTTAAGCCCTCACCCCCACTCTCCGTGATGAGGCGTCCTGTCCTTCTTGAGCCCCTGGGAAATGGTGCTGGCCTGATGCACTGTCCCCACACCCCCAGGTGCCGCCTGGAGCTCAAGAAGATGGAGGCCTGGGTCCTGCAGAGGGCGGCGCCTTTGCCTCTGTCCACTTCCTGTAACCCAAACTTCGTCCTCCCAAACTCAGTCACTTCCTAAGAAAGCCACCTGCCTGGTCCTCCCTCCTTTGGCCCCAGGGGCATCAGCGGGAGGCCTGGAGAGGCTGAGACCCTCTGCTGCGGGGCGGCTGGAAGGACAGCAGGGCGGGCTCAGGCAGCAGGAAGAGGTGCCTGACTCTGCTCATGGTCCTGTGTCTGGGGCCACCACGGGCCATTGTGGGACACTGCATTGCCAGGCAGGCCGGGCGCTGTGGCGCGTCCAGGGGGACAGAAATCAGCATCAGCGAGCATCGCAGCCACAGCCCTTCTTAGCTTACCTTCCCGCTCACTCGCTCTCACCGCGAGCTATCACTGGCCTCCCATGTGCCCAGCAAGGGTCCCCGGCTCACCACTCCGGGGTCTGCCACACAAACTGAGTGCCATTTGGGCTGGGTGCTGAAGGATGAGTAGGAGTTTGTCAGGCAGGAACAGCATGAACCTGATATGGATGCTGAAGAAGGTTGCCACATCCACCTCCTGTGTCAGTTTCTGCCCAAACTCCTACGTCAAACATAGCATACGGGGATTTGCCTCCTCGGCCCACGACCCCGTCCCGCAGAGAGCGCCTAGCGGCCCTGTGTGTGCCCTTCCGGACTGGCCAGGTTTCCCACCTGCGGGATGAGGAGCAGAACACGTGGTGGAGTGGAAGGGGTTCTGCCATCAGTGGTGGTGCAGAGGTCCAGCTGCTAGGTGAGCCCATTCTAGCTCACCTAGGTGGGCTAGGTGAGCCCGTCAGCGGTGCTGCTGATTAGGCCCAGGGGCCCAGAGGGCAGTTGGGAGCTTAACCTCCAGGAGGAAGACACTTCCTCGCTCCCCGAGCCACCGGCTGCAGGGGCCTGGGGACCCAGCTCTGGCCAAGAGGGTGGGGATCTAGGAGGTGTCCTTCAATGGGCAGGATTGGGGTCGGAGTGTGCCTGTAGCCTCCCCATGGTCCTGTTCTTCCAGCAGTCTGCACAGCAGACCTGATGGCCACACGGCCAAAGACCTAAATGGAGGAACACCTGGAGTAAAGGAATCTGGGGCCCTGGGGACTGTGAGGTCCCGTTTGCAGCCCTGCCACCTATCTGGCCTCAGAGGTGTAGTGTTAGAGGTAAATAAACACTGATCCCGTCTGAGCCAATGTTATTGGGGTTTTCTGTCCTTAGCAACCAAATCTAATTGTATGGTCTCCCCAGGGCTCAGTGTGTTGCCTGACAGTGGAAGCCAAGATTGTTGAATGAGTACATGATGGTGAACAGGGGAAGCTTTGGTGAGACAGGAGGGGGACACTGCCAGGGGGCCTGGGGGCGGGTGTGGAAGCCAGGCAGAACGGGCTCCTCGGGGCGTGGAGATGCCTCCTCCCTCAGGGTTGGGGATGAGCAGGCCCTTTCCCAGGAGGGGCGGCAAACACATCCCTCACTGAGGATGTGATTAGCAAAGACAACACTCAGGGATTTGCTTTTACTTTTTTTTTGCCACTGCTGCTTGGCGTCAAATACCTGGGAGGCTGTTACAAGTCTCACGATGGAGTTGATTCCCAAGGAGGCCCGTGCAGTGACAAGTCCGGTCTCCGAGGGTCGGCGGGACATGGCGCGGGCCGTGTGCGGGCCCATGCCAGCCCTGTCCCAGCAGGTGCCTGGGCACACCCACGCTCCCAGTTCGCCCAGTCCTCTACCCAGCTTGTGCCTGGGCCTGCCTCACCCGTGACACGGGGAGCACCATGTGAAAAGTGAGCCCTGCAGGTACAGCTCATGAGCTCACTCACACACTTGTCGCTGCTCCCTGAGGCCACGTCACGTGCCTCCATGTAAGCACAAATGTCCGGGCCTGCCCTCCAGAAGCCCCTCCTGGGCAGGACACACACTTGAAAGGGTGACGGGTCCATCCCGAGGTGCACAGAGGTGTATCTGCTGGGAATGGTGTCCGTAGTAGCAGGAAGGAGGCAGGGGCCTGTGACGTGACGGTGAGGCTGGGGTGCAGTTGGGGCAGAGGTTCCCCATCCTCAGCTTGGTCCCCAAGTGGCTGCTGTCCTCCAAACACTGCCCACATTCTGGAGAGAGGACAAGGACAAGGAGAGAGGACAGTCCCATCGGCTAGCCGGCCACATCCGTCCCTTCTGAAGGGACCCGAAGACTACGGTGCCTTCCATCCTCAGCTGTGGCCAGCAGTCACCTGCGGGGCCAGACCTGGCTTCCTTTGCCCTCCAGGTGTCCCAGGAGCAGGGTGAGAAGCCCTGTCCAAATCCCGGCTTCTGTGAAATGGGCACATGCCACTGGCCCCAAGGCCATGGTGACGATGAGTATGAACTGGGCACAGGCTGATCTGAGCAAACGCATGGTGGTCTGCTGGTGCTCCCTTTTCCTTCCCACCTGTGCGAGCGAGTGCACACACACACACACACACACTCCTACCACATGCGATCATCCCCATGCTCTCATCCGAGCACACACGCAAACACACCCTTGTGTTCACACACTTGTTCACACTCGTGTTGTGTCCACACCTTCGCCCAGTGTCCATGTGCACAGTGCCCACACATATACAGGACTTGTTCACACTCAGATCTTGTGCACACACATCTGTGCACAAACTTAAGACCTCAGAACGTCCTGAGCATCAGGAACAGGGCCTGTTCCCGAAGTGCACCTGACAGGAGGCTGCCCCTGCCCAGCCCCTCCGTGGAGATGCCCCTCCAGGCGCTGACCATCAGCAGGTGTTGGAAGGCTGCCTTTGACCCGGGGCCAAAGAAGTTGGTAAGGAGGACCCGTCCCTGGCGCAGGCCCCTCTCCTGCCCCCGCCGTGGCTCTTGGCTCACCTGTGGGGAAGCAGGCTCAGAGAGAGGGCATGCCGGCCCGAGGCCCCTCACCAGCGGTTCCCACCCCTGCAGGGGAGGCGGCGGGGAGCCCGACCCCAGCAAGGCCTCTGCAGGGGCAGGTGCTGCTCCCGGGCAGGGGCTCCACGGGGCTGCGGCCCCAGGCAAAGGCCTCGGAGGCCGGGCCCTGGGCACTTCTTGGTCCAGTTCACTCTCACGGTCACCCTCCGCCTCCTCCCCTCCCCCGCCAGCCTCGGATCCACGGATGCGGAGACTGAGGCTCGGGGGTGACAACGGGCCTGTCATCTCACAGGGCTGGGGAAGGGACCGCGCAGCCCCGGGGACCCTCGGGCGGCTCCTGACGACTGCGGCCCTCGACGCCCGTCGGGAAGACCAGCCTGAGAAGCTTTTGTGGCCCAGCCGGCCGCCGTCTCCGGCCGTTTCCGGCCGTCCCCGCGGGGCAGTCTGGGACTTGTAGTCCTCGGGCGCACGCCATGCACGGCACGGTGCGGCTCGGGTGGCCATTGGCTGGCGCGAGGCGCCGGACCGACGGACGGGCGAGGGACGGCCTCTTCGCCCGGCGCGGGAGGGGCCGTCACGTGACGTTTAGGTCTCGGCTCCGCCCCCTGCACCGCCCCTCCCGCCGAGAGCTCTCGGAGCGCGCCCGCGAGCCACCCCGGCCCAGGCAGGTGAGGCGGCGGGGTCGGGCCGGGCCGGGTCGGCGGGGCCAGGCGGGCCTGGCCGGGAGGTCGCGCGGCCCGAGGTCGGGGGGGGCGGGGGCCGGGTGGAGGGTACGGGGCGCGCGGGGGCGGGGCGGGGCAAGGGGTGGGGCCTCTGCGGGCGGGGCCGCCGCGAGGGGGCGGGACCTCCGGAGGGCGTGGCCGCAGTGGAAGGGGCGGGGCGGCCGGGCGGGCCGGGGGCGCCGCGGCTCCGCCCCCAGGGCGCCGGTGCGGGGAGACCCACCTGAGGGCGCATGCGCGCGGTCGCCCGGAGGCCTCGGGTCCCACTTGTGGGGCGCGCGGGGCGGCCGTCAGCCCCACGCCCTCGAGGCCGTCGCGTCCGGCCTTTCCGCCCTCCTCCACGTTCGGCTTCCGAGGCGCCTCCTCCCGGTGCCGAGCGCCGGGGGCCGCCCCGGTTCTGCGCTGGCCCCGTGGGACCCCGGCGGCCTCCTGCCCGGGGCTGGCGTCCCACGGCTCCCGGGCCCGGGGCTCCGGGTGCGCCGTCCGGCGTGGCGGCAGCAGCCACGCGTGGCTCAGGTATGGAACCCTGCCCCATCGCAGAAAGTTCTGGGCGCCGCTGCGCGGGGCGGGCCTGCTTCCGTCCCAGCTCCGCCGGCTCCCTGTCCCGCCCTGCCCGCTTGCAGCCCTTCTCCCAGGTCCTGCTGCAATGGCGGCTCACCTGTTGCGGGCACGTCCCGCCGGCGGGCCTCACGGTCCTCTCCCACCAGGGTTTCCGGCCCCGCCTCTGCTTGCCTCCCTTGCCAGCACCCCATTTTCTGTCACTGCCACGCGTTTGTTTGTTTTCTGGCTTGTGGGGGGGCCCCTGGGAGGCAGGGATGGGGGTTGCGCTTCACCGCACCCCGAGCAGGGACAGAGACTTGGGGCGAAGATACAGATGAAGCTGGTCCGTGTGGGAGTGCTGCAGCCCGTGGAAAGGGCACTCTCCAGGTTCAGCCTGTGGCCTGGTAGGTCCCCAGTAGAAATCTGCAGCAGATACCTGCCCCGGGCGATGCAGGTGCAGGACCCAAGTCGTGGTTGCAGGTGGCTGTGGAAGAGGGGCAAATCCAAGGATGCTTCCTGGAAGAGGTGGAGCTTTAGCTCCTCTGTTGGCCTGGCTGCCCCGACTGCGTCCAGGCAAGGTTCCTGTGCAGGGGAGGTGGGTGCCTCCACACAGGAGCTGCCATCTGGGGCTCACAGGCTCCTGAGCAGGCAGGCACCCTGGAGTCCCTTCCCCAGCTCCCTGCTGCCTTTAGGGTGAAGGTTGGGGTCTGGCTCCCGCATGTTCCTCCAGCCACATCTTCTATGACTTGCCTCACGCACCCCAGCCGTGTCGGAAGCTTTGTCTCCTGCCCATCCCATGTCTCTTTTCACCAGCGTGACAGCTAGCTCTTCTTTTTGGAACGTCCTTGTGTTCCTGATGTCTCCTTTGGAACCTCCCTGTCCCCTGCCTCCCTGGGTGAGGGTCACCCACACGCCCATGGCCCGTAGGCACCTGGTGCTTAGCCTGCCTTCGGTATTACCCTGAGGTGATCTGTGTCTGTGTTTATCCTGCACGTGACTGCACAGGGACCTCCGTCTCGGTCATCCTTGTATGTTGGGTGCCCAGCCCGGAGTCTGTTGTGGGCAGCCCGCAGATTTCGATGAGGGAGTGGACTGGCATTATAAAACAGCACGGAGAACATGGTGAGAAATGCAGTTGCGGCTGGGGGTCTGTTCAAGATGTGGGGAAGCTCGAGGCAGGGAGGTGGAACTTACCTTCCAGCTGGGGGAGGAGACTCCAACTGTGACCAAGCATGTCCCGAGCCTTTAATGACAGGGGCTAGATTCGTGCTACAGGTCCCAGAGAAGGGAGGTCTTCCTAGGATTTGGGATTTGAGCTGAGCCAGGCAGCAGGGCGAGGTTTGGTTGGTCAGAAAGGGTGGGTGGGCATCCTGGCGGTGGTGGCGCTCACCATCCCTGCCACACTCATGGGGCACTCTGGTGCCAGGCTCTGGTCCTCAGCACTTGAGGCTTGGGCTCAGCTCATCCTCACAGTGAGCCCGGGAGCTCAGCAGGTCAAGGCCCCCAGAACAGGTGAAGAACCGGGCAGAGAAAAGGGAACTTGCCCTGAGTCCCTTCACTGAGAAGTCCTGAGACTGCATCCGTTCAGCCCGGGACATGTGGTGGCTTCCGAGGCCTGGGCGTTTTGTTTCTCTGACTCCCGTGTGGACAGCTGGCCATGGCTTAGGTGTGTCTGTGGCTCCTGGGTTTGTTCCGACGGCGTTGTGTGCTCTGAGTGGAATTAGCCTGCAGGCCCAGGCCCGCTGTGATTTACTCTGTGAGAATCCGGTTCGTGGGATTCGTGACAGACCCACTGGTGCTCCGGACATGGGCCTCCTCTTGGATTCAGCATTCTCTGCTGTGGCGCCCCACACTGCCCGCTCCCGAATAGTCCCCGCGTCCGAGCCACGTCCTGTCCTGGGTGACAGGACCCTCTAGGGAGAGGAGCAAACAGACAGAAGGAACGAGGGCCGCAGCCCTGCGCGGTCAGCGTGGATCCTCGCTCGTGCTTCTGTGCCGTGAACACCTGGCTCCCATTTGGGTGCGTGAGGCGGGTGACGGAGCTGCCATTCCTGGTTCTAGGCGAGGAACGTGGGGCTCAGGGGGCTGCTCCCGCACCCGATCGGGGCCTTGGCAGAGGCTCTAGCCTCCGTGCACTGCCCGCCGGCCTGCCGCCTGCACCTGGGAGCTGCACCTCTGCTGCCCGCCTGTGGCCCAGGCCCGGAGCCAGTGGCTGCTGTGTGTTGAAGGAGTGAGGTTGGTGGTGACAGAGCTGAGCTGAACGTTCTTGTTGCGCCACGCTGCCTGTTGGCCCCGCCGTGGTGCCCGGAGAACCTCTCGCAGGAGGGGAGGTAGTTGCCTTGGCCCGCATCCTGGCGGAGAAGACAGGACTCGCCCGTGAGCCGGACCTGGTACCTTGCAGGTGCTTGAGCCCGCAGAGCCAATGGGGACGGTGATGCCCCCCGGGGGCCCTCGGTTCAGTGCACTCTCTGCCATCCGGGGCTGTCCTCAGAAGCCCGTTGCAGCTGCGGGATTGTCCCCGTCAGTCTGAAGCCTGGTGGGGACAGGTGTGAGGTAAAGCTGACTGCGCACTTGGCTTCAAACCCACAGCACGCTCGGGGGAGCCCTGCTCTGCTTAGGTCCGCCGCAGGCTTGGGGGAGCCCCGTGAGGACTCGGGCCGGTTCGTGGGCTGCCCATGTCTCTGTGCTGGGGCAGGTGCCGGACGCAGGGAGGTGGAACTGTGACTGGCAGCCCTGGGCACAGTGACTGGCAGGTGGAACTGTGGCTGGCAGCCCTGGGCACAGTGACTGGCAGGTGGAACTGTGACTGGCAGCCCTGGGCATAGTGACTGGCAGGTGGAACTGTGACTGGCAGCCCTGGGCACAGTGACTGGCAGGTGGAACTGTGACTGGCAGCCCTGGGCACAGTGACTGTGGCAGGGCCCTGCCACGGTCTCTGTGCCCAGGGCTGCCACATGGGATGGGCAACGCTCTGAAGGATTCTTGAAGGCCAGGTCTTGCCCACAGGTCAGGATGTGCGGTGAGCACAGGTGGGCTGCCCTGAAGGCTTTCCTGGCCTCGCCAGGGAGGCTCCTGTGCACACGTTAGGGAGTGAGGTCACAGGGAGGGGTCAGTGAGGGGTGTAGAGAGGGGCCCCCACGGTGCGTGTGACTGTGGGTGGGGCTGGAGGGTCCAGGTCTGTATCGGGGAAGGGGTCTTGGATGCTGGTGAGGCCTGAGCTGAGTCTTGAAAACCGAGCATCAGCCTGGTGGTGGATGTGAAGGAGGACGTTCCAGGCAGCAGGGGGCCCGAGGGAAGGCACGGCAGTGCGGGTCTCCCACAGGCCCGTGTGACTGGGGCCTGAGCTGCGGAGGCCCGGCGGGAGCCCTGCTGAGGATCGCTGGGGGAGATGGGCTGCAGGGGCGGGGCGGGGGTCCGGGGCAGATCACAGCCGGGGCCTGTGGTGGGAGGCTGCCGCGGGCAGTGGGAGGCCTGCACCCTCCCCCAGTCCACGGGGCCCAGGCCTGTCGGTCCCGTGGCTCGGGAGCCTGTGGCTGGGTCCGTGGTGGTGGCGGCACGCCACAGGGCCCCGCAGCAGAGTGATTGCTGGCCGGGGACCGCTGCGACTTTCCTCGCGGGACGGGGGCAGCAGGGTGCTCACTGCCCCGGCAGCACCGAGCTCCCGCTTGGGGAGAGAGCAGCCGTCCCCGAGGTGGACGTGGGAGAGCAGAGCCCGGTGGTCACGCTGACCCCACGAGTCCCCAGCCTGCAGCGCTGGCCCAACAAACCTTTATTGTTTTCTGTAACTGGATCCATGGGAAACGGTCTTATTTTCTGTGTCTGATTTCCCCTGGGAGGGGGACTGGGCCCAGCCCCGACGGAGTTAGCGTCCTGGTGCGGAAGCGGTGACGTCCTGCAGACACGCGGTGTCTTAGCTGTGGCATCCTGACTGATGTCCCTCATTAGCGTGTCGCCGAGCCTGCCCTTTCTGGTCCTGCAGCCACCCGGTGGGGTGGGCACCAGCGCCATCGCAGGGGCGGGCACGCAAGCCCAGGGCAGGAGGGAGGGCTGTGGGGGCCCGGGGGTGCCCGAGAGGCTGCCGTGGCCCCCTTCGGAGTGACCTTCGGGCTGGCTCCTGCTTTGGAGTGCCTGCTCTGCTGGATGGCCAGGGCGAGGTGTGGGCTGCTTTTGAGCAGGAACAGCGGAGAACTGACGTGGTCACCGCGGCAGTCAGCCCTGCTTGTTGACCGCTGGTGTCTGCTGGCCCCTGCTGGGTTCGTTATGTCCTCAGATCAGGAGACTCCCCAGGGCTGGGGGGCTTATTCAGAGGCACAGGCCCGTCAGTGACGGGTCAGGATTTGAACCCAGCCCTCGGGCTGCAGAGCCAGCTCACCCCGAGCTGGCCCGTCTGCCCCGCACTCCTGCCCTGCTGCTTCCCGGTGGAGGGGGGTGCAGGGGGACTGTTCGGGAGGCACTTCTGTCCTGAAGGATGCCCTGTGAGTTACAGGACCCCGTGAACGTTGCCGTGGTTGTATTAAGAAAGACTTAATCCTGGACTTCTCCCCCAGATCGAGCTGCCATCAGGCTCATTCCAGAGGAGAGCTTGGCAAAGGTCTGAGAGGTTTAGGGAATCCAGGTATCAAAGGGCAAAGTAGCACGTGGAGACCAGAGGCTGGGGTGGACCAGTGAGGCTGGATGGAAGGGGGTACAATGAGCTCACTGTTGGGCTGGTGGCTGGCTCTCCCTGACCTGTGACTCAGTCAGCGTTCTCAGGGCTTTGGGGGCCTGGTGCCAAGCTCGGGCATCTGCGTGTTCACATCTGTTCTTTTGTCACCTGAGCCAGACCCTGGGTGTGGGCTGAGGGGTGCACACGGAGCCTGAGCTGGCTAGGAAGCCGGACTTTGGGGGTGAAGAAGGTGAGGGAGGGGGGTGGGATGGCATCTGGGGAAGACAGGAGGGCGGGGGGTCAGGCACCCTGAGGGGCTGGGCAGAGCCAG